ATCCAGACGTATGGAAGTACAGGAGACATGAGATGCTGCATTTGGCCTCTGTAGGATGAAAACACCAAACCTGTCTGTTGATGCATTTTAGTCATAAAGTCTGTGATGATGATGATGCTGATGAAGCATCATCTCCAAATGACCCAAAGACGATAATTTTGTCTTTTTTGTGTAGCTTACATGAGAAGATCCGTTCCATTAATGTTTCCATGAAGGAAACATTTTACCTAATAAAGACACTTATTTGGATTTAATGTTAAAAAATGAAGGATATCTGCTGAAAGGTTGGTGTTGACACTAAACTCATATGGGAGAGTAGAACATGATGGAATAACGGAAAATCAAGAACCAATGGGGAAAAAAGGTGTTACCCTTTAAGTTTAATTCTGACATAAAATGTTGTATAACCCGTCTACCTTTAGGCTGGGATAAATCTAAACCTGATGATAGGTTGAGACTAGGATCTAAAGTACAGTTAGTCTCCACCAAGGATCACCTCACTGTGAAGGGCTGTAATGGAGAGAAACAAATTATTGTAGAACTCAGGATCATCTATATTAGGACAGGTTAACCAAAATTAAGTTTTGGTTCATCACAGAGGTTTGGATTATTTATGATAGTCTTTTTTTATACAAATAGGTAAAGGTTTATGAAAAAGATATCCCCCCCCTCCCCAGCATGTGGAGAAAAGGAGCTTGAAAAAACCTGGCCTGGCCATCTTCTTCTTAGTTGTACAATTTTGTTTTTAAGCAAGTGCGTTTCTCAGATAAAAACCACTTTAGAATGGTATTGTTTGAGTCTATTCAAAACTCTTTTGAGTTTAATCAATTTCCTCAGGCCTCTCACGTTCCTGGAGATCACATCAACAGCGGACTCAGCACTCATTTACTTAATGTCCATATATCCTTACTTTCTGCTTTTTGTCTCCGCTGTAGGAACTTGCAAATTACAACTTGAAGGGTTAGGGTTAGTGTTCAGTGTTCGCACCTTGAGAACACTGAACATTTATAAAGACAAGAAACTTTCCTGAGATTTCCCACAAATTTGAATCTCAGATTCCCCTCTATTCTGTGACTTGGCTATGTTACTGATCCTAGAAAACAAAGAATTCACACCACCACCTTAAACTGCAAACTCCAACCATAGTATCTAGAAATTATGTCCCACCGCTATGAGGGAGATCTAGGTGAAAATGTGTAATGTCCAGCAACAAAGATCAAATGGAATATTGATCCTTATTAAACTTTGCTGACACCATCCAGAGTGTAAGTGTGGTCACCCGTCAGTTTGTTGTTTTGTTTTCCATATAAATTCCTCCACCTCTTGTGTGGAAAAGGAATCGATTACCGTGGTGAAAAATACTCATCTTTGCTGGGAATATCAGACCAAAGTTTATATTCAGATTTCACCTGGTCGTATTGTTTCCGTTGCTTCACCCCCTCAGCGGATAGGTCAGGGAAGAACATCACATGACAGTACATCACCTTTCCGTTCAGACGAGCTGCAGCCATCTTATCTTGATAGTTTAGAAATGTCATGATGATGACACATGGCGGGACGCCTGGAGCACTCTGGCCCTGCAGCCTGTAAGCGCGTTCGATGATGGGGGGGATGGAAATACTTCTCGCCCCAGGATCTCCATCAGTCAGGTCTGTACAAAAGCCGCAATGTCCCCTTGCTCTGTTTTCTCAGGTAGACCCACAAGTCTTGGATTGGATCTTCAGGAATTATTTTCAATCTCATTTACCTTCAGAGAGAGCTCCTTTAATTTTCTTTGAGAGGATGTTTCTTTACTTGTTATTGACGCGAAGCTGTCCTCCAGTTCACTAATGCAGGATTCTGCAGAGGTAAGTCTCTCGAGTAACCCTCCAATTGTGTCTTTAATGAGGTCATAATCTCCCGTAGCTGCAAGGTAAAGTGTTTTTTCAAGACTTGGATTGCTTCCAGGAGGTTAGTTTCAGAAGTCTGGGGGCTAGCGCTAGCCTCCTCCATGAGCTTGGATTCCACTTCACTTCTAGCGTCGCCTTCGGACCCTTCTTTTCTGCTTGCTTTCACTTTTAGATTGTTTTTTAGTAGGCATCCAGCGGGTTGGATTGAGTCTCTGGCTTATCCCAGGGAGTTTGCTCATATGAAATATATGTTAGCGGTGGTCCAGATATCTAAATACTGGGGATATTGTTTCGAGCTCAGAGCTCAGCTGTTCCTCAGTAAGACGCCATAACCGGAAGTCCGTCTACTCTACGTTTACTCCATTTTTAATCTATGTCTACTCTACATTTACTCTATGTCTACTCTACGTCTACATTTACTCTAAGTTTACGCTAGGTCTACTTTACGTCTACTCTACATAATAATAATAATAATAATAATAAATTTTATTCGAAAGCGCCTTATCACAACACCCAAGGACACTGTACAGGCAGATAAAAACATTAAAAACAGGGAGCTAAAAAGTACAAGCATAAGATGCCACAGAAAACAAAACAGCAG